CGGCCTCTGGTGGGATCACCGTGACAACAGAAGACCTCTGGTGTCTCAGGGATGGGGAGTTCCTCAACGATGTCATCATAGACTTCTATCTCAAGTGAGGGGCTTTTTCTAAGACTTACGCAAGTCATGTATCACTTTCTGTGTAACATATCAGTTGTAAATTATGACTCTTAGGCTTCATATCTGGCAATATGATAATCGCACAAAAAGTCTGTTGTTAAAGTAAAAAAGTTAAACGTCTGTTCAACTTGTTCCCTATCAATGGGGTTGGACCTTGAACTTCTAATAATTTTCAATAACCATAAAACAGTGATATCTTCTGGTGCAAGTACATGTATGCTTGTGTGGTTGTAGACACTGGTTATACATCATACTCAAAACATTTTCAAATCCTATATATAAAATTTAGGACATGAATGCATCAATGATATGTCATTTATACACTTTTAAGAATAACAAGAGATAAGAAGAGATGATATTGTAGTTCCCACTGCTGAGCAGTTCCCTCTTGTTCCCTCCTTTTTGTACATGTAGGTACCTGGTGAACGCTGTCCTTAGTGAAGATGACAGGAAACGTACTCACATCTTCAGCTCCTTCTTCTACAAACGTCTGATGCAGAGGGACCACATACGCACCAGATCTGAGGACAACATGCATGCCTCGTAAGTCTGAGATAATGCATAGAGTGTACATGTACAAGACTCAAAATGCTTTTTCTGCATGCCTGCAACAGTGCAGGTACATGTAATACTGAAAATTACCTGACCAGCCATACATGTGTACAAATGTACATATACCCAGTACATGGACCAGGGCAGGTTAGGTTCAATGTACAGGTAGACATCAGAAATACAGTGTACAGCTTCATGTTTACCTGCACTAACCTGCATATATGCAGGTGGGATTTCGAGCTAATAAATGCAAGGATTTTACCTTGACAGTTTCCCTTTGTCTTTGTGTGGAGTAGAGTGTTTCTTACTTTTCATTATGGGTTCACCACACCACGAAGTGGTGGTGAACCCATATTGCTTTTTCTGATGTTTCTTCTCCTCCTTCTTCTCCTCCTTCTTCTCCTGCCATTTTTTAAATGGATTCAGCTTCTTCATTTTAGGGCCTAAGGTCCTGAAATTTGGTATGGAGGTACAGTGGGCAAATACCCCTAGGCGTTTTTTTAAATTTTTGTGATACAGGCTTTTAGAATGGTTTTATTTGAGTTTTTTGGCTGTGTTATAGCAAATGTATTACTGTGTTAGTGTGCCGTGTTTACCACGTCTGGGCATGAGTCATCACAATGGAATGCAGGGCATCAACCAATAGGCATGCAGCTTTCCTCTATACTTCTTGCTGATTGGCTGTTGGGATTTAACTTGATTAACACCTGCACAGAGCATTTCCACCTGCACAGAGCATTTCTTGCTGATTGGCTGTTGGGATTTAACTTGATTAACACCTGCACAGAGCATTTCCATACTGACAGTATGTCTTTATTCAAGTGTTTTGGTAGGTATTTCAAGCTTTTCTGCTCCAGCATTGGAATGCGGGGCATGAACATTTTTTTTTTATTTTGAAAATCAACAGTTTGCATTATGCAATTTAAAATCCTAACCAATAAAGTAGGGAATAGCTATCCAATTGTTGTTTTAGTTGTATGTTACTTCATATTATAGTTATATCAATGTAAATCATTGTTTTCCCTTGTGTTTCTCATTCTTTCCCTGCCATGTGGTAAAATGTGGTGAACCCATCGCTTTATTTGCTCCAAAGCAAATAATGGCCTTTCTAGTTATCTATGTTCTATTCCACAGCCCTATCTACAGAAGACACAGCCGGGTAAAGACTTGGACAAGGCATGTCGATCTGTTCTCCAAGGACTTTGTCATCGTGCCCATCAATGAAAAGTAAGTCTAAATGTAGTCTTAGCACAATTTAAATGTATAAGGCAACTTAAGTTGGCATTTCAAAAGAGATGTCAATAAAGAAAGCTGCAGTCTACCAACATAATTGGCCTCTCAAAATGGAGGAAAATATATAGAATTTCAGAGGGTCAAATTTTCAAAATGAGATTGACAAAAAAGAAAATTGAGATGACTGAAAAATTTCAGGCTCGCTAGCACACTGCTTGAAACTAGTTTAAACATCAACTGCTCTTTCCAGTTTTGATAAATTAATAACATATTAATATTTACTAATAAATGAATATTTTAACTATGAGTTATTTTTTCTCTCTGCACTAGTGCCCACTGGTACCTTGCAGTTGTCTGTTTCCCTGGACTAGACAAGGAGGATCCATATCCAACAGTGGTGCCCCGGCTCACCCGACCTACCACCCCTGACCTGGACCCTCCATCCCGACCTTCGACCCCTCACCCTCCCACCGCTGGCTCTTCCACCCGACCTTCGACCCCTGCTTCAAATCCAGAACAAACCACGCAACAATCCACGGAGGAAGTTGGGTCTAGTTTACAGCAGAGTTGTCAGAGTCAGGAGGGAGCAGAGATCACAAGTGACAGAACTGTGCCCTCCTCCTCTCAGTCTTCATCAACGTCATTGGAAGGACAGGCAGACAGTGACAGCTCACAGGACTCCAGTACTAAAGGTTAGCATTGGCTCTTATTTAAAGGCACCCAAATGATTTCATGTCACAGTAAAACTGGATTTCTGGTCAAAGTAAAACTGGCAGATACATCAGTGAAGGTTAGACATCGAGGTAGTATGATACGCCAAAAAGCAGTTACTCAAGCAACTTGATACTATTTTGGAAACGGTCAGACATTTCAGGTAGCATCCACAACCTTTCATCAGAGTCACTGCTTTTTGGCTTAAAACTGTCAGACTCTTTTTTTTTATTAAAGGCACCCAAAGTGATTTCAGGTCACAGTAAAACTGGATTTTCAAAGTCAATTTTCTGGTAATTTTTTTTACATAGCAAGTTAAATCAACCCTATCCCACAGCATACTCAGATATCTGTGAGGCAAAAATTTGATGTTGCTGACTGAAAATGGTTGTTTTGTATTGTAGAATGGTTCTAGCTACTTATTGGTGGTGGAAGTATGAAATGATGACAAAATGTGCTAAGAATTTTTTTTCAGTAAATGTGAATATCAAACAGAATTCCTCATCCTCAAGATTTTCTCATGTTTAACTTTTTATCACATTGTGCAATGAAAAACCTGGTATCATTACTGCTTTGTATGATTTTCTTATATTCTGTAATCATAATACTATTTCTAATAGTAGGACATAAGGCATCTCCTTGACTATATTTTTTTTTCTTATTCATGATTCATGCAGGCATACAGACAGAACCTTTGACATTAGAACAGATAGAAGCAGCATTTGCCAGCCAGCTTCAAGAAGAGACCAGACTCGGGTGTCTGCAATCTAGCAGAAAATGCCAGGAAAACTTGGAGCAAAAACTCTCCCCAAGATCAAGACGCTCACCAAGAAAAGACTCCACTTCTCAACAATCTACTCCCAACAAAAGGAACTCACCGAGAAAGAAAACTGAAGAAAGTCTGAAGAACGATTCAAGACAATCTCTTGACAGTAACGATGTAAGAAATAGTGTAAGTACAACGTCACCAAGGAAGAAGTTGAAATTTCCTGATGCAGAGAAGGAAAGAACGGGAAGTACAGAGAAAATGGACGTTGATGAGGACCAGAGGGAAGGAGTGAGTGAAGGAGAGAAGGATAAGATGGAAATAGAGCAGTCCACAGCTGAGAGAAGAAAAGAAGAAATGCAGGGAGAACCTATGGAAACAGAGGATGGAGTTGAGAGAAGTTGTCCTGAAGTAAGTATTATCATCATTTCTCTCAGTATGTACAATCATGAAATAACTTAAACTGTCTTCTTGTTACGTCGATGAAGGTTAGACATCCAGGTAATATGATACGCCAAAAAGCAGTTACTTAAGCAACTGGATATGATTTTGAAAACGTCAGACGTTTCAGCTAGTATCCACTAGCTTTTGTCAGTGACTGAGAGACCAGAGGGGAAATGCAGGTTTATAAGCACAAACTATTGATTGATATGCAAATAAAGTGAAGACAAATTTTTGGAAGTCGAAAAAGGAACAAAAGGCAGAGAAGTCAAGACAAGATAATGTCTTCTTGTAACAGTTATTATGATTACCAAGAATGACTTCAAGGCAGATACAAACTCAAAGTTATGTTATGAAATCTGTTGCTTGGGGATTTGGTTATATAAAAACAATATACATGTAGAGAAAAGAAGTATAGCCATTTTGATGCCATTTTATTGTTGTGTTGTGTTGTGTAGACATCAGCCAGTGCAATAGACACAACCAAGCAGGGGTCACATGATCAGACCATGATGGATGACTCAGCCTCTGACCAATCAGCATCCGCCACGTCGGACCAATCACAACCAGCCATTTCCATCAGAAGAAGGTGCATGTTAACTTGTGTTTTCATAGTGACCAGAATGCTACTTACTTACTGGGACTGTTTTTTTTTACCTCTGGGGAAGGAGATATTGACTAATTGTTCTGTGGGAAGGTACTGTTTTTGGTTGTGTTTGTACATGTATGTTCACAGCTACATTTGTACAAAATATATAACTCATGGTGAGTTTCTTTGATTTTCGGTATTTGATTAGTTTTTGGGGTCTAGATGATGTGTTTTGTTTCTTTTTTTTCTTAGTTTATATCTGTGTTCTCAGGTAACAAAATGAAATAATTTGACACTCCTGCACTGTACAATGTACATGTATGTTGGATGGTATCATCTTTAAACAACTGTTTAAGGCTATGTTTATTTCATGAAGTCTTTTTTCTCTCCCCAGACCTTGCATCCTCCTGTTTGACTCCCTACGAGGACCCGGCAGGAAACAACATGTTATGAAGAACCTCAGAGAGTAAGTCACCTCCTGTAGACACGTTGGCAGAACGTACTGCACCTGCGCAAAATCCATAATGTATTGTGCATAGCACTTTGGCAGAACGTCTTATGTAAGGTTGTATTCAACATTTCAAGTATATACTTAGTAAGGCCACACCATCTTAATTTCATGGATGACATCCTCTAAAGACACCCAAACTAGTGTGTGCAGGCAAATAAAAAAAGTGCAGCCCAAAAAAATGCACCTAAACCAGAAGAATACACGTCAGCTGGTATTGTGAATTGCAGTAGTACACACCGACCTTTACGACAAGCTGGCACATGCTGGCCTTTTTCAGCATTTATGAGTCAGCACTGTACATGTTCTGAGTTCTGGAATTCCATGGAGCTTCGGCAGCCTGGATGCCGTCGTCCGTAGTTACCACCGGCTCCACACTATCGCTAGTACCCATTCCACTTTATACATTCATGGCTGATCAAAAATTTGTTGGACTTCCTACATGTGTTTTCTGATGCATGTTGGTTTCACCAAACTATGTAACACAGGTACTTGATGGTGGAATGGGAAGTCAGGAAAAAGGACCAGCCCAAAAGAGAGTTTGACAACAACAACATGAAGGGAGCTACACCTAAGGTTCCACAGCAGACCAACTACAGTGACTGTGGAGTCTTCCTGTTGCAGTATGCTGAGACCTTCTTCAATGTAAGTCTGCTGTCTTCTCTCGTTGAAAAGTTTAAATGTATTAAATTAAATGTAAAAATCTGTTGTATACATATAGTATGGACATTCTATAAGGACAACCTGTTCAAGTATTTTGAATCTTCTGGTATACATGTAGATGTAAAAAGTCTCTTTTGTTGAATGCTTGATTATCATTGTGCCACAATGTGTTTTAAAGACAGTAAAACTGAATTTATAAGTTAATTTTCTGGTCATTTTGAAATGTAAGTTGAAGCAACCCTATCCCATAGCATACTGATATCCATTAGGCAATATGCGATGTCACTGACAGAAAATGGTTATTGTTGTAGCTATATTTATTGGTAGTACCATAAATAAACTTTAAGAATGACTTCAATGATTCAAGAATGAAATAATGACGAAAATGTTTGAAGAATGTTGCCAGTAAATTTCAGTATCTAACAGATTTTTTCATCTAAGATATTTTTCTCTTTTGCTGCTCTGATATTGCATAATAATTGGGAGCCTTTGAGCATGCCACATGTCTGTTAGGTGTAACTATCAAATTTTGATAATAGCTTTTTTTTTTTACATCAAACTAGAACCCTATCCAGGACTATTCATTCCCGTTGAATGGAATGGAACACTGGTTCTCTAGGCAGAGGATGAAGAGGAAAAGACAGGAACTGCAAAACCTCATCCAGAAACTAACGGAAGAGCAGGAGAAGGCAAAAGCAGAAGAAAAGACGTAGAGACAGTGAAGAAGTACATGTAGTTACAAAGGAAAGGAGCCAAAACCAATGAGATTTTTGCATCAATCCTCTGTCACGCATTCAGTACTAACCACCAACTAACCAAGGCTGGCAGTAGGTTGGGAGCAGTCTGATCAAATTCAATACAAATTTGAGTTAAATTTGAGTCAAATGTGACTGCCAACCACACCCCAACCACTACTGACCTATCCCCAACCACCACCCAACCAGTCCCCAACGATAACCCAACCTTCCGTCCACGCCTGAATGCTTTGAATATTTTGATATCTCGCAGCCGAACAGTAGCCAAGCTAGTCGAACACCAGCCAACCACAGCCAACCTTGCTCCCAACCTACTCCTAACCATGGTTGGGGACAGTTTGACAGTTTTCAGTAGGCCATATTCAGCTATGTGTGACAGGGGCATCAGCAAGTATCTCCCAATCTGCATCAAGAGAAAGGAGCTGGGAAGTTATCTGACTCCTCCATTAGTTTATCCACTACTTTAGGTGATGTAATTTCCAGCTGAAAACTTTCTGTACCTCACTCTTATGTTATGTCACAGGATATGTGACTACGCTGAAGGTAAATTTGGATAAACTTTCAGCAATATTTGATGAGAAAATATTTACCAGGGAACTTGTTTTCTGCAAAGTTATGTCTTGCCCCTGGTGTTATGTATGTATTGTTTAGTAGGCTCAATGGAAGAGCCTTGTTGCCTTAGAGATGTTTCATGTGCAAATAAAGTAACCATGACTAATACTCTGTTTTAGTGTTCTAGCCAGCATCCGTCATTTGACAGAATTTTGCTACTGACATTTGAAAACTTTGCCAAATTCATCATCTTTGATGAACAAAAATTGGTGTGTGATGATATGGAAAGAGATGTCATTAAACTACATGTAAGCTTAGTTTCCGAGCAAAATTTGCCGCAAAATTTTTCTCTCAAAATGCAGGAAATAGTGCTTCAGAGGGTGAAGATGTCAACATTTTCCTGGGCATGGAAAAGCATGCCCCGACCTTCCTAGGATTGTTAACGTTGTGCGTCTAGTACAACGCATTGTGTATTTTCTATCATGAAAGTTCCTCTGTGTTGGTAGTTACATGTATAAAGTTAAAACTTTTGTCCCAACACAAAAAATTCTCTCACCTAGAGCTTTCGACCAGTCACTCTGGTCTTCCTCAGTAGACTGACCCAGTGAAGCTTGTCACGTGGCTTCTTTGAAGTGTGACGTCAACACTGGGTCAAAGGTATCTGGTAGACGATGTCGACCCCCGTCGAAGAAGCCACGTGACAAGCTTCACTGGGTCAGTCTATTGAGGAAGACGAGAGTGACTGGTCAAAAGCTCTAGGTGAGAGAACTTTTTGTGTTGGAACAAAAGTTTTAACTTTAAGCATTGTGTATTTGTTGCTCGACATGATACGCTACGTCAAACAAAATTGAGATTACAGAAAAAAAAAATCAGGCTGGCTAGAACACTGCTCTATGACGTTCAACACTAAAACTTCTAATTTAAAATATCTTTCAATGCAAACCTTACCAAAAGTTTAGCCTGTTAGTTCTATTGTTCAAGTGATCACTTTGCCCTTACATAGGATCCTAGAGGGTAAGGACACCGGATATTTCGATTTTCTTTACCAGTACTGTTTCTCACTTGCTTACGTTTGATGTGTATTAGACATGTTCCTCAGAGCTTTTGACTGGAGTACTGCTTCTCACTGCTATATATATGTGGCACTTTTGTGACAAGACAGGGTTCTCACCAGGATTTTTTCACAGCATAAGGGCCAGGTAAAGAAGGGCAACATTCACGGCGCAAGTTGTGCATTGAGTCCCCAAAACATGACCACAGCAGGGGAGGTTGGTACATTTGTACTTTTCCTGAAAAATTTTGAAACTCATCACCCCCTGAGACACTATTTCTTGCATATTGAGGGACAGATTTTGTAAAGTTAATGTTTTTCCTTTGTTATGGCTTCATTCTACAGTTATATTTTCATTTCAATTCATGAGGTTTCCCCCCAACAAACACCCCTACATTGTATGCTCGTTGAAAGACAGCATAGGGGTCCAAATCACAGCATAGGGGGTCCAAATCACAGCATAGGGGGTCCAAATTACAGCATAGGGGGTCCCAATCATATGCTGAAATAGACTAGTGAGAGGTATGTAGGAGTACAATCCCAAAAGTAGCTGATTTTGTATGTCTGATAGATATAAAAATGTAGGCAAGTGAGACACAGTACTGGTTTTGTGTAAAAAAAAGAAAAGCCCAGTATCCTATGTTCTACCAAACTGATGGAATTATTTTCGAGATGACAGCAGAAGTGTATCCAAACCTTGTGCCTTGTCCAAAGCTGCTTACACGTTCTTGACTTCACACAATACTTGTACAGTGTATTTATCTCTGCAATGTTCCAGAACTGAGGTTATTATGAATACAAATAAAGGAACCACAGACGGACTCTATACAGATATTAGTGATTTTTTTTACCCAACAATCTGATACTATCATGAAAGTTTATCTGTGTTGGTAGTTACATGTTTAAAGTTAAAACTTTTGGTCCAACACAAAAAATTCTCTCACCTAGAGCTTTCGACCAGTCACTCTGGTCTTCCTCAGTAGACTGACCCAGTAAGCTTGTCATGTGGCTTCTTTGAAGTGTGATGTCAACACTGGGTCAGTCTACTGAGGAAGACCAGAGTGACTGGCCGAAAGTTCTAGGTGAGAGAATTATTTTGTGTTGGACCAAAAGTTTTAACTTTAAACAACACTTATTCTTGCATGTTTTAGAGATTTCAGTGTGTGTGTTTGTGTGTGTGTGTGTGTGTGTGTGTGTGTGTGTGTCGGTCAACATCCAGCAATGATGTTCGAAAAATGTCTCTTCCATAATGGCGTTCATATTAATAATAATAATAATAGTTTATGTAACCCCTGGAACATAGTGTTTATCTCCTAGACTAGTAGTTCTTTGCGTAGTATTCAAGATGGGCATGAAAGGAGAATGAAGTATCATGATAAATTCCCAATCTCTTAGTACACTAGCGCTAGATTTATTCGTGTCTGTTACTAAATGTCTGTATCTTATTAATATGTCATGTTTGCCTCCTTTATATATTACTCTCAACTGACCTTCATACCTGTACATGTAACATTTAAAGGTCGCCGTGCCAAATATCAGTACGTGTCGACAGCTTTACCGTTACGGTAGTTCTAATTTTTTTCGCAAGATGGCGCCTCTATTCATAGATCCTTTATAGTGCACTTGACACGTACATATAGCTTAGCGGTAGCCTCTACCAGGCTACAGAAGTCGTTGAAAATAGTGGAAATCGGCCAAATAGATAACATTCCAGGGGAACTTAGCCCGCTACAGGAGTACAGTTGGTCGCTACTGAACTGTACTGCTTTAGCGGACCAACTCACCTCAGTAAATAGAATTTCTAGAGTGCAATTCAAATAGGAATATACAAAGAATTTTCATCCAGACAACATTCCTTCGCGTGAAGAAGGAAATAGTAGTACGGATAGCGTCTGTAAAATCTCGGTGTTTTCAAGATACTGGCGAGAAAAATACTAATGATTTTATTCAGCAGACTTAATTCTTGCGAGAACATTTTTGGGCCACCCCTCTCACAATTTCGCAGTGGAATATCCCACCTTGAATACCAAAAGAAGGTGTTAAGCATAGCTGCTAATATAGAATACGTCATTCATATACATATCACATATCACCCGTGATCTAGCGGTAGGGAACCGCATAACAAATCTGCTATGTTAATCGGGGCGACAGAAATTTACCGTCCAATTTCTCGTCTCATTGCGATTTGGCCAGCCCGTATTAATGCCTGACCGGGGCGCTTTATATCGCACCTGCCGGCGGTTGATTAGAACCGGGGAGGGTAAAATACGATACCGGGCCCTGGAAGAGGTGGAGCCGGTAAGGAAATAAACTGGCAGCGTCAAAACGGAGGATTCAAGTTGGAAACACGAGAGGCCAGACCAGACTGCGTGGGCAGGTTGTCACGTATACAAATTACCAATACCTGTATGGGCTGTACGTGGTCCGATTTACATGTAAGGCCACAACATGTAAATTGTATAGATGACATCGACCGCACACTCCAAATCTAATGCGACAGGGCGAAAAAAAACAAAGCGGGCCAAAAAAAAGAGATCCCTACGGTAATTGTAATTGTACTGGTGGCAGGCACGACGGCAGAACGTACTGCCCGGAACCCTGATTTTTTTTTACGGTTTTGTTGTTTTTTGGTCAACGTTGCATCAAAATGTTGCCTGTTGCAGACGATGTCTTTTCCAACATAACATTTGGAAACTACAGAGACGGGATGTTAACCTTATATACGCGAATACAACCTTATATGAGAAGTTCTACGGAAGTACTACTATGCACAATACATTATAGGTTTGGAGCAAGTGCAGTACGTTCTGCCGACGTGCTGGGATATATTATGTCGTCAGTATCTTCGGAAGCAGAGACTCCTACAAGCAGCAAGTCAAGTCTGACTGCGAACAAAATTTTCGAGCGTTCACTAACCGTTAACGCCATTTTCTTTATGATCACGCTACAAGACGGATGTTTGTCTCCCCAAATGGGACCCATTTGAGCTACGCGCGAAGTGTCTGTGATAGAAAATTACCGGCGCAGCTAGTAGCCTGGGTACCAGCCCGTACCGCGAGTAAGTCATAATCCCTTCGGCCAGAGGAGTCATACGCCCCGCGAACCCCGAGTTGGCACCCTGGCTCTAATTATTAATTCGCTACCGGCGTGAAAGATAAAGGGTTTGGGCGGATACTCTTGTAGCGGACATTTTTAAAAAATGCTATTGCTTTCCACTTGTTGAACTGATTTCAATACGTTAAATCCTATAGATGAATTCGATTTCATTCTCAGGGGAGATAACCAATACAGTGTTCAAATAGGAAAATGCATTAAACATTAATACATTATACATGTTGAACACTTAGAGACTACATGTTAGAGAATAGTGAAACCCTTAGTGTAACCACTGACTTGAGAATGTATTCTGTACGTAGGATTACGTTACCCATACATGTATATATATATTATATTAACTTTTTTAGACCATACATAAAGTCCCTGTACTTTTTGTTGTGTTAATAAAGAATCTATGAAACGCCAGCGTCTGGTAGCCTCCATAGCATTCCAAAAACTGGGGGTTTGGGGGGGGGTCTTCAGGGTCTTTGGGAGCTTTTATGTGATATTTTCTGATTGCATATAGACAACATAGTCGGCCTGGTTGAATTACCCCCGTTTTTTTTTAGAACTGGGCTAATCAGAAAACAGCCGAAGACCACCAAACGCCCATGCCAGTTCTATAAGCCTGCTACGGAGGCAAAGCGTCTGGCACCCAGGCTACACAGCTGGCCGCCTCTCCCCCGTTGTCATCGTGTGATCCTCCCGCTGCCGTTAGCGGGCCGGCCGCGCCTGTGCGCCCGCGATAAGCGGCGTTACGGCTGCGGTGTCACGCCGGGCGCCCTGAACAACAGCTGGATAAATGGCAGAGCGCCGCGCACAATGGTTCAACGGCTCTACCAACGACGCAGAACATCCCAGGAAAAACAGATGAAAGACTAGAGGTCGCTTAAGATTAATTTTCCTCGCGAACGAGACAGAAAGGACAATCGAAGAAAGAAGAAACCATCAAAAGTGTGTTGCCTCCCATTTTCTTTGCTTTCCTCCCATTCCGCATTCAGTTTATACTTTTGACTTTTCTTTCTCCCACTTGCTGTTCTCTATTCCTTATCCATAACTTATCTCTGTCCTTCTCTTCTTTTCTTGCAATTTTTCATCCCTTCTCCTCTAATATTTCAAACGCCCAACATTGACATTTACTTGTACAATCTCTCACATCGCGCTTCAGTTCTGAGACTGGTGGCCACAGGGGATATATCCAGCATATACTCTGCGGATCTCTCCTCAGTTGCTGTGTAGCTGTCTGCGGAGTTAGCCCAGCCTAAGCATGCTGTGATTAATTTACATGTCTCAATCACGACGTAGTTTATTTATTATTTATCAGACATGTACACAAGTCATTTGTCTGGAC